GTTTATCGTATTGGCTAATATCGATTGTGCCCAGTGAGATCAAAAGTGTGTGCCTACCTGTAGAAACATGGTGACAAAGGAAACAACTCCAATTACGACGAACATGAGAGAAAAGAAGTTGGCTCTTTTTCTGACAAGGTCCTGATCTGTCTCCGCAAACACCTGAGAGGAGATTAATACAACCAGTTTGTTATTAACCCTCCAGAAGGCATATCCAGAATTGATAACAGGGCTGGCAGTGACTTACAGTGATAATCTTGGAGAAGAGGACGGCAAAGAGAGGTTGTATCGCTCCATTTATGATGGCACAAATCAGCCCTACTAAAATATAAGGCCACTCAGAAGCATTGAGAAGCAGCACCCTAAACAACGACACCATGGGGACGTCTTCTTCCTGTAGGGAGAGAATTTGAGCAATATCTTGAGAAAGGATTCAGGACGTGTGAGCTTTTATGTCTTCTAAGCATCAAGAGTTTCATAAAGATTTGTAATTTTTTCCCCGTTTTTCAAATCAACAAATAAAATATTACTCTAGAAACGTAACCTAAAACAACACCTCGTCCAAATTGTCCTCCTCATCCTTTAGCTTTTTCTCTCCCTTCTCTCCAGTCGAAGCAGCGAATGAAGAGCCTCTTGTAGATTTCCTCCTCAGCAGAGGAGACTCCATGATGTCTTTAATGGGACTTTTTTCACCTGCTGACAGCTCGTCCTCATCTTCCCCCTCCTCCGCTTTCTGGAAGGTCTGGAGAGAGGAAAAGCGGAACCCACGGGGGTTTAATTTATAAAAGACAGCCCTTCTAACACCCGATCTGGAGACATATGTATCCATATGTATGTATACCTGCATGGTGACCAGCGTGTGGTAGACTCCTTTTTTGTCCATCAACTCACTGTGAGTGCCCAGTTCTACAACTTTACCTTTCTGGAAGCCTGCAATCACATCAGCATTTCTGATTGTGGAGAGGCGGTGAGCCACAACCAGAGTGGTACGACCCAGACGCACCTGTGCAACCCAGTTGTATTAGTTTGTGGAAAAATGCAGGTGTACAAACGTTGTTTTAATATGGAAGATACAAATATCCATAGAACTTTCAACAGTCACTCCATCTTTTGCCTGGAACCGTACCTTATCTAGCGCAGCTTGCACAATGGTCTCACTCTCAGCATCCAGTGCAGACGTTGCTTCATCCAATAAAAGGATTTTGGGTTTGCGGACCAATGCTCTAGCAATTGCAATCCTCTGCTTCTGGCCTCCGCTCATCTGAGTTCCTCTGTCACCAACAAGTGTCTCAAATTTCTGCTCAGAATGGTAAGGTCATCACATTAGACCAAAATAATATTTGTAGTTAATTACTAATGTGGCTGAAATGGTAGCAAAAGTCTGAGTTTACATCAGGAAGGTTCATGATGAAGTTGTAAGCGTTGGCCTCCTTGGTAGCAGTTTCAATCTCCTCTTGTGTCACGTCAGGTCTGCCGTAGCGGATGTTCTCGGAGATGGTGGTGGCGAAAAGGATGGGCTCCTGGCTCACCACCCCTATCAGTTCCCTGAGGTAGCGAACGTTAAGAGAGCGGATGTCATGGCCATCAATAGATACCTGCATGGATTCAGAGCAGCAGATGCAGAACAAGAGGTATAGAGTTAAGGTTTATATGCAATTCCTTAGATTTACTTAATTTTCAGAAAAAATATTATTTTCTGTTACTTTTTCATGTGTATTCTTCACTACTTGTTATATTTTTACTCTCTATAAAAGAAATGTTTGCTATGGTCTCATCCAGACAAAAAGATTCTTGCCCAGTAAATAGTAAACATTTTAACCAAATACCCATCCACACTTTATTTTAAAGTGTAACTTCTGGTATGCAAACAAGCTACCTTGTTCTAATCTTATTTTCTGTGGGCTGCATTCAGAGGACAAATTTGTACAGAGTTAGGGGTTCATGTCTTGCCACTGGATCTAAGTAACTATATAAATATAACCTTCTGGAAGTATTTGTTTCACTAACTTTGTGTTGAAAAAGCAATGAGACTCCGCTGCCTGTAAAGGTTTTACATATTTTATTAACATATTTGAAAAGAAAGATTGTGCAAATCGGCATTGTCGTTTTTTGCTTCATCGGGGACGGGGTCGCGGGGGCAGCAGTCTCAGCAGAGACTTCCAGACTTTCCTTTGAGCAGACACCTTCTCCATCTCTGCTTGGGGAAGCCTGAGGTGCTCCCAGGCCAGCTGAGAGACATAAGCCCCATTTACACTAACCTTTTGAAACCGTGCTGAGATTGGTCTGAGCAAGGTAACCCGAGATCACTGTTGAGTGTAAATGGTACGCAATACTGAACTGGACCGAGCCAGACACAACCGAACTGTGTTAAACTGGAACCAGTTCATCAGTAGGGATCAGTGTGGTTCAGTTCTGGCTCAGTTCTCAGATAACAAAGAGCGCATGAGCAGACCGCGTCTCTCCTTACGGCCTCCGTAATCATGAAATTTCAGACATGATTGGACTATTTGAAAATGAAAACCGTTAAAAATAGAAAGCTTGCTCCTTGGTTTAATGCAGAGCTGCGCACTTTGAAGCAAAATGCTAGGAAACTAGAGAGAAAATATCGCTCCAGCAGCATACTTCTCCTCATTAATAGAAGAGAATAAGAATAATCCAAGATTTTTTTTTAATACAGTTGCCAAACTCACCCAGAGCCATAGCTCTGTTGAACCGTCCATTCCACCTGCTCCTAGCAGCAATGATTTTATGGGATTCTTTATAAATAAGATTGATCTTATTAAAAATAAGATCATAAGCACTCCTCTATCCACGATTGTATCTGAAGTAGTCATGGAATCTGAACCGTGCTTAGACTGCTCTGATCCAGTTGAACTTTCTGAGTTAGCAAAATTATTGTCTTCATCTAAGCCTTCAACTTGTATGTTAGATCCAGTTCCAACCAGGTTATTTAAGGAGGTATTCCCTTTGATCTCCTCCTCCATTTTAGATGTGATTAATCTATCTCTGTTACAGGGATATGTACCTAAAGCCTTTAAGGTTGCTATAATTGAACCTCTGCTTAAGAAACCGTCTCTTGACCCAGATGTCTTGGTCAATTATAGACCTATATCCAATCTTCCTTTCTTATCTAAAATTCTTGAGAAAGTAGTTGCCAAACAAGTTTGCGATCACTTACACCATAATTAACTTTTTGAAGAGTTTCAGTCTGGCTTTAAAGCTCATCATAGCACTGAAACAGCTCTGGTGAAAGTCACTAATGATATTCTCATGGCCTCAGATAATGGACTTGTATCTGTGCTCGTCCTGTTGGATCTCAGTACTGCATTTGATACAGTTGACCATAATATTCTTTTAGAAAGACTTGAATATTTTGTTGGAATTAAAGGAACAGCACTAGAATGGTTTAAATCTTATCTATCTGATAAAATTCAGTTTGTTCATGTTAATGACAGATCTTCAACATGCTCAAAGGTTACCTGTGGAGTACCACAGGGATCAGTGCTAGGACCAATTCTCTTTACTTTATACATGCTCCCAATTGGTAGAATTATTAGACAGCATGGGATTAATTTTCACTGTTATGCTGATGATACCCAGCTATATCTGTCTATAAATCCAGATGAAGCTAACCCATTACATAAATTACAGGCATGTCTTGAAGACATAAAAACCTGGATGACTCTTAACTTTCTCCTTCTGAATGCACAAAAAACAGAAGTTTTAGTCTTTGGACCAGAGTCTTTGAAAAAGAAGCTGATTAGCCAGTCACTTCATTTGGATGGGATTAAACTGCTTTCAGATAATAAAGTAAAAACTCTTGGTGTTGTTTTTGATCAGGACCTGTCATTTAAATCCCATATCAAAGAGGTTTCTAGAATTTCCTTCTTTCATCTGAGGAAAATTGCAAAAATTAGAAATATCCTGTCCAGGGGTGATGTTGAAAAACTAGTCCATGCATTTGCTACTTCAAAGCTGGACTATTGTAATTCTTTACTATCAGGAAGTCCACAAACTGTAGTTAAAAGCCTTCAGCTGATCCAAAATGCTGCAGCCAGAGTTCTGGTGAAAATTAAAAAGAGAGATCATATCTCTCCTATCCTGGCTTCTCTTCAATGGCTTCCTGTTAAATCCAGAATAGAATTTAAAATCCTCCTTCTCACATATAAAGCCTTAAATGGCCATGCTCCATCTTATATCATAGATCTGATTGTTCCTTATGTTCCTAACAGAGCACTTTGCTCTCAATCTGCAGGTTTACTAGTGGTTCCTAGAATTTTTAAAAATAGAATGGGAGGCAGATCTTTTAGTTATCAGGCTCCTCTCCTGTGGAACCAACTACCAGTTTTAGTCCATGAGGCAGACACCCTGTCTACTTTTAAGGGTAGGCTTAAAACTTTCCTTTTTGATAAAGCTTATAGTTAGAGTGGATCAGGTTATCCTGAGCTATCTCTATAGTTGAGCTGCTATAGGTTTAGACTTCTGGAGGACATAGGGACTAGAGACTGACATTTTTTCGGGAATCCCATGGGTCGAGGGATTCCCGTGGGATTCCCGTGGGATGGGAGTCAGTATTAGTAACGATCACGGGATTGGGACGGTACAGGATTAAACATTAACGGGAGCAGACAGGAGCGGGAGCAAACCAATAGTAACTTCCGCTCTGAGTTTTTCACCCGCGCTCAAAAACAACAAGAATGGGAGTGGTGCAGGAGCGGGAGTCATTCTGAATGGGAGCGGGATGGGAGTGGGAGTAATTTCACCAGGAGTGGGACGGGACAGGATTTAGATTTCTACTCTGGGACGGGACACCATTTTTTTTTGTGGGAGTGGGACGGGACAGGAGTGAAAATCCACTCCCGTGTCAGTCTCTAATAGGGACCCCCATTTCATCATTCTGCTTCATTCTCTCTCTATTCTCCTATTCTGCAGAATCTGTTAGTTCAATCTCTAACGTTATGCTCTCTCTGCTTTTCCTCAGAGTAGCTTTGCCTCGTCTGTTCCTGTCTGGCTGTGACGCCATCCTGGAGAGAAACATCAGCTGTGCTGCTTCCATCAACACCCTTGTTTATAGATGCTGGAGATCGGCCTGTTTTCCAGTGTGGTCCTGTTTCTCTGACCGTGCCTGGGTGGATGTGCTCTCTTCGTCCTCTGGCATGGGAGCTGGCTCGGAGCTCGTCTGCCTGCCTGTGTTGTGAATTTGGCGCTATATAAATAAACTGAATTGAATTGAATATTGTTTGTCGTATCTACTTCCCAAAAGCCGACTCTTGTTAAGTAAATTCACCAAAGGCTGCCTTCTTTGCCTGACTCTCCACAAATGAAAAAATCACAATTATAACAAAACATAACTTCCTGAATTTCACAGGCGCCACCATGTTGGTTTGCTTAGCAGTACCGTACAGTAGATCGCCACTAGAAGGCAAGGAACCGCGCAAGGTGGTACTTTTTGGGAGAAGTGACTAGTAACTATAAATAATTTTCTTTTCAAAGTAACATTGCCAACACTGCAAATAAACTGGTATGGTATGAGGTAATTCTACGTTTGCTTTAGTGCAGTTTTAGGCCTCTGCTGAGTAAAAAATATATTTTTTTTTAAACAATTCACTATAGCAAAATCAATGTAATTAATTTTAAATAAACACTAATAAAAATATATCTGGCAACAAGTGCTGTTTCTGTTAGAAAGCCAACAGATTCTAACTATTTAACTATTTATATCAGCTTGTTTGAGTGCCTTTGTGTTACTCTACAAACGGCAGAATAGGGAAACCTCATAATATTCTGCAAGAAAAAAGGAAAGTAACACTGAATTTATTCTGTTTTCCTCACAAGGTGACCTGCAAAAATATGTCAATATCACACATTACAATAATAATGATAATAACAGTAAAAATGGTAGTGCTTTCTATTTTAAACAAAAAGCCATTAGATCCTGTTATACATTTGATATACATCTTTCTGAGTTATATTTGCAAAAGCACAAATTTACTGACAAAGTATTCACTATAGTTTACAATAATAACATTACTTACAGATCCTTCCTGAGGATCGTAGAACCTCTGCAGCAGCTGGATCGTAGTGCTTTTACCACATCCACTGCTACCAACCAACGCCATGGTCTGTCCACTGCTCACACTTAAGCACATTTGGTCTAATATCTGAGGAGGACACCAATGATTCCATTGTTAGCTGTTTAAACTGACAAAAAAAATTACTGTAGAAGTTCTTCCATAGAGCAGTAGATGTGGAACCAACCGTGACATCAGGCCTGGACGGGTAGCTAAAGTGGATGTTATTGAACTCTATGTTTCCTTTGATCAGGTCCGGCTTAAACCCAGTCTCTGAATAACTGTCGATAGTTGGATTCTGCAGATAAAAAGGAACAGAAATGTGAAATTGTTTTCTTTGCCCAAATCGGGATTCAAATATTCCGACAATAACTTCAAACGAACAATAGGAGGAAGGCTGTTCGCCTTCCATATTAGAGTGAGCAGGTTTAGCGAGACCAAATGTTTATTTCCTCAGTTCTTTGTGTTTTCAACTGCTTTTCTTGATGCACTAAGACTCAGAAATATATTAAAGTTATCCTCTCCCCTAATTTGCTCTGTAAAACATTCTTTAGGTTAGATGCTTATATTCAAATTAATTATCATGAATAAATCATATCACATCTTATTTTGACATATGTAATTTTCTGAGAAGAATTGAGCCTCAAGACCTACTTAGGTGAGTCGTCTCTTGTCTGAGTGACTATGACCTCTATCAGTAATGGGTTATTGTTATTTTATTTGAACAGATTTTTAAATCCCCTGCCATAAAAGCACGTATCAAATGACGACCTGACAATTTCAACATCTTTTTTAAAAATGAGGCCAAACTATACAAACAGAGCTGTTTTAAAGCTTTCTCACACTACTATATGCTTTGGTAAACTGCTGCTTTGTTCAAGGCTCACCTTTGTGCTTGTGCAGTAAAACTTTATATAAATCACCTTTGCACTTTGAAATGTAAGTACCAAGAGAGAGGGATATAAAGATACATAATTTTCCAAACTTTTGTTAACAGCTTTTAAAACAAAAATGGAGCAACATTGGCATCATCCCAAGTTTTTTTTTTAGACTATATCAGAATTAAAACACCTTGGTCACTAAGTTTGAAAACTGGTCTAGCCTAAGATTGGAAACTGAATTTTCAGTTGCATAAAGCCTGCTGTGTGAATTAGTTCAATTAACTCTAAGTAGGTCCACTCAGTTGAACACTTGCGTATCAAGTTTGAAAAACCATCATCAGTGGAGCCCAGATTCAAAGAGTCAGCATGACAACAGGCAAAAGGAAGTGCCAATTTCACACGACTGGAACTACATATTTTAATGAATAAAAAAAAAATGGAGGATGTGTTTTAAAGACAGAAACAGTGCTAAAGCTGCAAAAGAATGGAAGATGGCACTAAAGAAGATTGATGCTTGGGTTAAATCATAGGTTTATATAACATATAAAGTTTTTAAAAACCTCCAGTATTGTGTCTTAACAAAACGAGTGAATATTTTTTTTATTGTATGCACAGAACTGCAACAAAAATCTCCAGACTAAATCAGAAAAGGTTAGTCTGGGGGGAATGTTCCTACAGCAACAGATGTTGAGTAAACCTGATTTTTGAAATAGATTTCTGCAGAACTCTTCATCTTAAAAATGCATGCACACATGCCCTAAGCCCAACAAGAAGGCTTCTTATTTTAGATTAATTCATAACAATTTTTTTACTCTTTAAGAAAAATGTTTGAAAAATTAAGTTGATGTTTAACAATTTGCATTAAAAGTCACTGGGTGGATGTTAAATTTGAGAAAATAAGCTGGATTCACTAAATGAAAGTGAATTTACACACACAAAAAAAACAAAAAAAAAACTGTGCAGCATCAACTGAATGACCCACAGTTCTTCTCTAAGGCAGCAGGGGCTCCAATTAGAGAAAAGTCCTTCAAGTCATTATAGTTGGCTGTTGGCTGCTTCAAAGGAACCTCACAGTGTGCCAAAGTGCAGCAATGCACATTCAGTGATAAAATCTGACAACACGCCTTCAGACAAAAAGTGTGCGTTAGTTCATATTTGTTGCATTACTCACATGATCGATGATGTTGTACACCTTATAGGCATCTCCGCGGGCACTAGCAAACGTCTGAATGTTGGGAGACGTTTGCCCCATTGCAAACACTCCAATGATCACAACAAAAAATACCTAATAAAAAGGAAATAATGCTCTTATTTAGCAAACACTATTTTAATTTTAAATTGAGCTAAACAGATCAAGCAGACAATGTGTGTTTGCTTACTGTGAGCACAGATCCAATGGTGTATTCCCCACTCAGGATTAGGGTGCTGCCATACCAAAAGGCCAGAGCATAAGACAGGTAGATCATCAGAAAGGTGAATCCCATGGCGATGTTAGCAGAGACTGCCTTCCTTATTCCCATCGTTTTAGCATCTTCCAAGTTCTTGTGATATCTAGAATAAAGCCCACATTCTCAGAACCAGGCATGGAAAAGGTCACAAATATGCACCAGTGAAATTGAATTGCAATGTAACAGAAACCCAACAAATGCAACATTAGTGTCACCATAAAAATACTGTTATTCAATTACAGCCTTTCTCTGCTGACACTAACTACTTTACTACACAGCATCCATCCCTACAGGATATATCTTATTTGGTTTTAACAAATAAAATAAATAAAAGCTCCCTTTAATTTTTTTCCAAAGTAAAGTGGATTTTAAATATAGCTGCAGCCAATGTTTAGCCACCATAAACTCACCTCTCAATCTCCTTCTTTTGACCACTGAAGGCGAACACCGTCCTGATGGCAGAGAGGACTTCTTCTGCAACAGCACCAGCTTTGGCATATGCACTCTGTTCTTTGGTAGTGAAGTTTGTCAGCAACTGTTCACATAGAAAGAGGCCCAAATGTGTCTAACACTGATGTTTTAAAACCAGGGCAATCTCACAACATCATGGATATGTCAACTGATAAGAAATATCTGAATAAGGTCCTTGCTCTGAGTTTTTACCAAAACATAATGGTTTCCTTGCAATCCAGAGGAAAAATATCTCATCCTGGCATCCAGAATTAGAGAAAGCCAGGCTTGACCTAGCACGATTAGGGCTTCCTGGATTTATCCATTTCACAAAGGCCAACCAAGGCTCAACAAGTGCAGCCATGTAAGTAATCAAGTTGAATACAGGTCTGCAGCTTTCTTAAAAAGACCATGAGGTAGACCAGATATTCATCAATGAGATAACAATAGAAGATTAACTGAAAGCCTAACATATGCATTTCCTAATCGCTCCTTTGCAGGAAAAAAAAAGTAAATTTTAAGGTGTTACTTGTCATTTTTCTTAAATGAACAACTAATACCTTAAGAATGAACAGTAAACGTCAATAATGTAACATGTGCAGATCTGACAGCTGAAGATTTAGATCACACACATGCAGTAATACAGTCAATGTACAGATCATCTCAAGCAATACTATGTATTCTGTTGGTAGGGAAGGTTATGAAGATGCACGTAGACCTTATTAATGGCAAATAGTGGAATTGCAAAGACTTTCAGCATCTCCTGCTGCATACACATCGTCTGTCAATAGGCCATTAGGCCATTGTTCTGTTCTGTGTTATGCTGGAAGTTAGGACCCAGCAGGCTGCATAGGTAGCAGATAATCACCCCTAGAAAATCAGTAACGCTCATACTGCTAATTATCAGATAATAAATGAATAAGCTGGAATAATAGCACAAGCCATTGTAAATGTACATAGATTTGCTAGGAACTACCTTTATGAACACACTTTATGGACAATAGCTAAAATGGGCAGCTCAACATTTTCTGGTCCTAAACAGACTGGAGCAGTTACAGCGCCACGTCCATAATGCAACAGTGCTTTTCTGTAACCACAATAGTCAAGATTGCAGCTGCAACACAGCAACTTTAAATTATGTTCTTTATTATGTACCAAAAGAGCCGTTTATATTTATAACAATTTCAACAACTGGCTGCAAGAACATTTTATTTTAGTGAGACATATTTGCATTGCATCTGTGGTTATCCGATTGGTCCCAACCAGTTTCCTCTGCCCCAGTTAATTCTGCTTTGAAATCAGGCTCCACCTGCACCTTTCCAGGCTGATATGCAGTGTATGCAGCATAAGACAGTCTTGTTGGCCAGGCTATAGCTGTACTTCTTTATCGTCAACACATGCAATAGTCTATTAAAGTCCTTAGTACAGTATTAGTCTTAAAAAGCACAACTTAACAGTAACAATGTCCACATGGAGAATTAAAAAGTTAATAATGTTATAGACCATTATAATGATGTTAAAATTATTATTGAAGTCTACTGTATGTCTACAACATACACTACATGACTGAATGTCAGTATGCATCGTAGTATAAAAGCTTAATCAGCTTTAATGACTTTAATCCCAAAGTGCTTTAACTAGCCACCAATTTTAACCCAATCAGCGGTTACAACCGTAAAAGCTAATAGCTAACTTTAGCCAACTGAGCTAAAAATCATAGCTATGGGCTGGCTGAGTTTTTTTACATTGTTAGCAATTTTTTGTCAAAATAGATTTTATAAAATGTCCTTAAACTGACATTATTAAAAACATAACAGACACCCAAACTGATCAATTTTTGTCATTATATATGTTATTTGTGATTCATAATGCAGTGGGTTCACAAGGCTGAAGTTGATGTGGGATTGTGGGTTCAGATATGGGGAAAATGCTAAAAAGGGTATTATGCCTCTTTTTGTTACTACATAAAAACATCTTTATTCTAATCTAGGGTCAAACTACAATAATTAGATACCACAAACCTGGATTAAATGGTTTTATAGTCAGAGCAGAATCTTTTAAACCCAATTTTTAACTTGTGAAACCTTTACCAAAATAGTGAGAGTTCATTAAATAGTCTTAAAAACTACTGTAAAGTCATGTAATAACATTCTGCACCAATAGAACATAAAGATCAAACTTTAAAGATAATATAAAATAGGTGTAAAACTTCAAACATGCCCGAAAAATGCATTTCTTTATAAAACATTTCTTTGTGTGACTGACATCTGGGCCTTCTCCCAGTGCATTTAAGCACAGTGGGCGTAACTATGCTTCTTCAACAACTTGGTGAGAATCCTGCGCACCGCTTACCACCTTATCAGTTAGCCTGCACACAACATAAGACAAAACTACACTATGTACTTTAATTTAGCTGCAGTCACACAGAAAGGTAATAATTAACTAGTTTGTACACAGCAGTCACAATTACAGCAACCCACCTTTTGCCGCTTCTTACTGGCCTAGCAATTTACCACCATATCAAACTGAAAAGCAAAAAAAAAAAAAAAAAAAAAAAGTTTAATCAAACCAAAGTTTAATCCCTAACCCTTCCCACCACTGTGATGGCTGTGCATCTTCAGAGGCAAACTTTCAGCTAGTCATATCCTCTAACTTGCAGAATTCTATGTTGGGGGATTGAACTGAGGCTGGCAGAAGTGAAGCTCCTTCAGTCAAAAAGAACACCAAAACAATATCTACCAATGCGGTTTGAATTTCTGTACCTTACTGAAAAGTGCAGCTGAGATCCCCAGAGCTGGGCTCACAGCCAGGATGACGAGAGTCAGTTTCCATCCTTTGGTAAAACCGATGACGAAAGCTGCGATAAAGCTACTAAAACTTTGGATCAACATCCCCACCTTGTCACCAATTCCCTCCTGGATCTTGTAGACATCACTGCAAGGATAAAAAGAACCAAAGATCGATCCTATTAGCAAAGCAACACTACCACTTCCCAAACTGTATGTGTGCATCATGTGATGTCTCTGCTACCCACTCTGTTAGTCGTGTGTTGAGCTCTCCTGTTTCGTTCACATCAAACCAGCCGATGTCCTGCTGCATGATTCTGTGGAAAAACAACTTGCGGATGCGTTTAACCTGCCGCCCGGCAGCCAGAGTCCAGAGAGACACCTGGAGGTAGGCCGCAACCAGCACGACGGCTCCCAGGATGGAATAGTAGATGGCAAACCTAAAAGAACAACCTACTGTATGAAGCGTTCCTTAGACTAACATCTGGACACTTTAAATGACATCTGTGTAAAACTTTACGTCGTCATTTCCTCTTCTAATGGGTTGGTCATGTTTTCTGAGAAGGTGAAATCTGTTGAATGGAAATTTTATTTCATTAATAGCATTAGTTCCATTAAGTTTTACCTGGCTTAAACTAATATGTCCAATGGTAATCATTTGTCCTAAAAAAATTATACTGACAATCATAAGTCAAATATCAGCATCTAGTGGAATATAAACATGTAGGATTTCATAAAAACAAAATGTTTTTTCTAAAAAAGTAAATTAATTCAACTTATTGTGTATCTAGGTTCATAGTAGATCAGTATCCCCCCAAAGTTGGCAGTATTTTTGTTATAAGAGTAAAGACATTGGGATCTACAGTTGTTTGTTGAGGATCACTGCTATTAGCGTTATAATTGAGTAAACACACATTACTCTAAATATCTTTATTAGTTAAAACCATAAAAGGGACATATATTATGATCTTTAAAAGATTCAAGAGCAAAATACATTTCTATATTTTGGTTACAAAAAGCGTGCTAATACATTAGCGGAGTCAAAATAGTACCAGTAAATTGGTAGTACATTTTACCTACAAAACTACCTTTTTATTACTTTACCATAAATTAAAAAAAAATAAAAAAAGAACTTTGCTAATTTAGTTAGAGCCACTTGTTGCTCCTGAACTGCAGCAGACTCCTAATATAACCTGTACTATGATGTATATGTATAATTACGTTTTGGTTCAAACATCCTATGGAAGAAATACAGTGAGGAGCAGCATGACAGTCATTTGTACTAAAATAAAAATCCACAAGATTACATGGTTTAATAAAAAAAATTAATTCTCCAAATGATTGCTTAAGAGTAATAAAATCTGACTATTTCAGTCTGTAGTGCTAATCTATGTCAACCATTTACTTATAGCTATGTAGATTAAACATCTCATTGAATAAAAAAAAAAAACAATATACTAGTACGTGAAAACTACTTGTGAAGCGGAGGATTAAACAAAAATATAGAACAAACTAATTGAAATAAAAACCATCAGATATTGTTATGTGACAAATGGAAATGAGTGTGACCGACTGCAGAAAAGTCTGTCTGGTCAGTTGCTTAAAGTAGTGTACATGTATACATACAGATACTCATCTATACATATAGGAATACTCACTGGGGGGGGTTGCACTGTTAACAAGACTGTCTGTCATGTCTCCAAAGACGATACACATGAGAGGAAGCACCACCCCATTGGCTATCGCCATCACAGTCCCGACTAAAAGCATGAGAATGTCCAAGCTGTCTGCAAACCTTAACTACACAAGAAACAGAGACATCAGAGACATACTGCATGAAGGTATTATCTGAAAGCAGCAGGACACCGGTGGACTTCAGCCGAACAACAGCAGGATGTAATGCACTCCCATCCGATCTCCAACTTCCTCTCTTGCTGTACTTCTCTCACGCATACATGTTTCTATTATGCTTGTATTTGAAAACCAACTACAGAGTTTTACGTATTTGTATAAGCGTTCAACATTTTTATTTAACATTAATCCTATTCACTAGATTTTAACAGATTTCAGTTCACACCACTTTTTTTAAATTAAGCGAAAAATGGAAAAATATTTACAGATGAAGGCCATCTTTCTGACAGGAGGGGATCAGGGCTGCAGCTAAGCTTACCACGGAGAATGGGCCAACCATGGGCTCCTTCGCCTCCTTTTCCTTCTTCTTCTTCTTCTTCTTATCTGTCTTTTCATCATTCTCTTCTCTTTCACTATAATGATTGTGCACAAAAGGGGGTTTGTTTAACAAAACATTTTTTTTGTAAAATACTGTACTCAAAAAGCCTTAACAAAAATTAAAATAAGATAAAAGTTAAGATTATGGCTGAAGTGTATTGTTCACTATGTAAACACAAAATGGTATAAGGTGTAAAACAGGAAACAAACAATGAAGAATAACATTTTAAAACAAATGCAAGTTTATTTTTTCAATGTTAACTTCAAAAGAAATTCTAAAGGCTTTAATATTTATGTTTTATTCTCAAACTTTATCAACTTGGTTGGGAGGTGAAGGTACAGTGAAAGTGAATCTTCAGCACCTTTCACCTTTAGCATGTTCATAGTACATTTTAATCATCTTTGCTGTGATGACATCATTAATATTCCTCTGGATTAGCCTACAATACACAACAGCCATTTAAAATCACTCTATATTTTAACTTTATTTTAAAGTTAGTTTTTTTTTTGGACCTGTTCACTTCCTGTTTGGATTAACTGAGTGTGCAACTGAGTGTGCAGCTGTTCAGAGGATCTCCATCTGAAGTTAAGTTATTTTCTCTGTGATATCTCTGTATCTAAGTAACTCTAACTGACTACTTTAAAACATAGCACCTTCTGCTGCACTTTTCTACTGAGCACTTGTCAGTTTCACACGGTTTTATTTCTGATAGCAAGAAGTAGCTAGCCTAGGCTAGCGCTAGCTTAGCATTGCTATGGCTTCTCTCTCTCCCTCCCTTGACTCTTTTCCAACTCTTCCTTCTTCCTCTCCTCTCTCCTGCTCTCTGTGTCAGATGTTCAGTTATTCCTCTGCCTCCTTTAGTGATAATGGGATGTGTAATAAGTGTAGTATTTTTGTAGCTTTGGAGGCGAGGGTGTCAGAGTTAGAATCCAGGCTTCAGGCTGTTGAAGTAGGCCCCCCACGTAGCTGTCCTCCAAAAGTGCCTGAGCAGCCAGGCGATTGGGTAACTGTACGCAGAAAGCGTAGTCGTGGATCTCTGCCCACTGGTCACCACCAACCCGTTCACGTTTCTAACCGGTTTTCCCCACTCAGTGACACACCCACTGAGAAGCCCACTCTGGTGATTGGCAGCTC